TTTATTAAGAGCTACAAAGGAGAAGAGATTGTGGAGAGCCATGATCGCCTACATCCTGATGGGATATGGCACATAAAGAAGACTTAAAATGTAGACTTGAGAATTCTGACTGAAAGAGTAAAGATACCAGAAGAAAAAATATATAAAGACGACAGTCATCTGATGAAAAAAGTCTGGTTTTGAAAATATTAGTTCAAACCCATAAATGCCTTAGAAAAGTTTGAATTCAAATTAAACTAAGATATAGTAAAAATTATAACTGACACCTCAGCACATCAGTTGGTTGATTTTGCTTAGCAGTATATCAATCTCTATGGGTGATTTAATACCAAAAACTAAATATTTTAGGCACAATCTTATGGCTTCAAATACAGATAAAATGTGTTTTAATTGTTGGTAGGGGTGGGGAAACTATTTTCTCATAGCTGGGACCCTAACAGGTGCTACCACCCTGGATCAGGGTGTACCTGGGTACAACAGCAATTAAGAGGTGGTTCCATGCTCATCAAAATCTTGCAATCATAATCCTTGTTGTTGGATGTAGTTTATCATTATAACACCTGGCACAACTCCATGACCCCAAGCAAGTTGGCAGGACATTAATGATTTTGCCATAAGGCCACAGGATTTTGTGTCACCCTAGGATTTGGTTCTTTGGTGACCTATTCATCATATTTGCACTGATTTCAATGTAATTTTGGAAACTTAAAAACTCAGGCTGAAACTGGAAAACACCTTGTGGCCTGTCACCTGGCTTACATGGAAAAAGTTCTTTGTTTGAGACACCATGTAATGTTGTCTATTTCTCCCTGGATGGAAATCTGTATAAAGGGAATACACATGAATTCCGCATGAGTACACAATGACCTTTAGTCCTATAGACAACACATCCGTGTGAAGAAAAGTGTAGCTACCCTCCCTGTCGGTACAATATTCAAGATTCTGACAGATATGATGTACTTGGGGACCAGCACAATTAACAGGTATATATATATATATATATATATATATATAGGGTTAGGTAAATGAGATAAGTAGATATTAGCGTGCATATGCTGGTAAACAAATAAATAATTACTAAATTTAGCCAATTTAAAATACGTTTTGTTTTTTTTGTTTTTTTTTCACTACACAGTAATAACCAGGTTTCAAAAATGGAAGCTAAAAGCTTCGAATTTCATTTTGTAATTAAATTAAAAACATTAGTTCCATTTCATCCTCAAGTGAATTTTGGAGTAACTTATTTTTTAAATTTACCGAGTTTTAAAGGCACAGAAAAATTTATAATTCACCGTTTCTAAGGATACAGAGAGATCCAATCATTCAGACGAGGGGTGGTAACCTGTTTATTTTTATTAACTTTTGTGATATCTAGTATTGGTGACAAGTAAATTCAATTGTCCAGCAGGGATAAAAATCATTACACTTCCAGTAAAACAACAGTGGAGTAAAATAGCTTGCTGCCTAAAAATTCTTAAGGAAGCAGTAGTTGCTCTTTGTTTTACAATCCAGCTCCATCTTTTGTCTTCAAGAAGAGAAGAGTTAAAATTTAAATTGTCAACTTTATTTAAAGTGGGGGAAAAAAATTTATCTTTGAAAAAAAATAAATAAACAGTATTTTTTATATTTCTTTCTCAAAATGTTTGTGGGACTGTCCTTGCAGGTGGTTAAGAATGAAATGCTTGTATTAAACACAAAACTTCACCCAAAAGTAAGTCAACTACCCATCTTGTTTGACAAGAAATCTGACCTCAGTGATAATAAAAAGCAGACAATGACAACAACAACAACAGATGTGATTTTTAACAAAATCTCCCCAATTTTGAAGAGATATACAGAAATGTCTATGAGGAGACTAAACTATTCAACAATGATTATAAGTCTTTATACTTCAAATAAACATTGTAAACAAATTATACAACAACAACATTAGAATAAATTATACTTCAACAACATTGGAATACAACAGCTTCATTTTGAAAATACTTCTGGATGAAGTATCTCAATCATTTTGCTATCCCACTATATTACTCCCTTTCTTCAGGTAAATAAAGTTCTGAGAAAGTCATTTATTGAGTATAATCTAATACAATTATAAAAGATCTAGAAAACTTATCCGAAAGTGTTATATAGTATTGGTGACAAGCAAACTCAATTGTTCAGCAGGGATAAAAATCATTACACTTTCAGTAAAACAACAGTGGAGACAGTAGTTTGCTTACTAAAAATTCTTAAAGAAGTAGTAGTTAGTCTTTGTTTTACTATTCAGCTATGTCTTTTCTTTAAGAAGAAAAGAGTTAAAATTTAAAATGTCACCTATATTTTGTTTAAAGTGGTGGGGAGAGGGTAGTTAAAAAAAAAATATTGGCATTTTTTTTATCTTCCTCAAAATGTTTGTGGGACAATTATATTGTTGGAAAAATTTCCTTACAGGTGGTTAAGAATGAAATGTTTATGTTAAATGTAATTATGTCACCAGTTTTGTTTAACAGGAAACCCAACCTCACTGATAAAAAAAAAAAACGAATAAAAAAAATAAAAAGACAGTTTACTTATTTACTTTTTATTCTCTGCAAAAGTAGAAGTGATCTGTGAATCTATATTGAAAGGCATTTTTTTTTTTAAATTTCCTATACAAGAAGAAAAACCTGAGTGGTCAAAAACTTCATTTGTTTATCAAGTACAAACTTTGCTTTGTTGTGTTTTATGGCATATCAACCTCAATGAGTTATTTAATGCCAACATTTTTTCCTGGTAATATTTTTTTCCTCAAAACATGTATAGCCGGTAATATTACTTTCAAACATGTATAGCCGGTAATATTACTTTCAAACATGTATAGCCGGTAATATTACTTTCAAACATGTATAGCCGGTAATATTACTTTCAGACATGTATAGCCGGTAATATTACTTTCAGACATGTATAGCCGGTAATATTACTTTCAGACATGTATAGCCGGTAATATTACTTTCAGACATGTATAGCCGGTAATATTACTTTCAAACATGTATAGCCGGTAATATTACTTTCAAACATGTATAGCCGGTAATATTACTTTCAAACATGTATAGCCGGTAATATATAGTTTATCATCATACTAGGATGATGAAACTTACTTTATGACCACAATTATGGCCAGGTCTTGTTGAAACACCAATTCCTGTACAATAACCCAAGTTGAGCCTAGATGATACCTAGATTGCTGACTGCTTGGGACAACCAGGTACTGTAAGCTTAGGTGTACAGGTGGTGAAATGGTCAGAAGTATTAAATTGGAGAGTAGAGTTCCCATACAATCACTGAAATTAAGCAACATTGAGTCTGGTCAGCAGATAGATGTGTGACCACTTCAGAATACCAAGTGCTGTAAGCTTGGATATGTGATTTGTGTAATAGATAATAACACAGAATTTTTAATTGGTGGGCAGAGTTCCAATTCAAATCAAATTTGTTATAGTCACTTACACACAAGGTATGAATCCATCACTTTCCCCCAAGCTATGGGTTAGTTAGTAAGACTTGTATCGTTAAATTAGGGTCTTGTCATCCTCTGCCCGAAGACAGAGTTCTTAACTAGTCATGAGCCTGGGACTGACTGCAAGGAACCAGAGCGTTCCCACCCAGGCCACTGGTCAAAATTTACCCAGTCCCCGCAAAAACGGGCTCACCCTGCTCAAAGACAGAGGTCTTGTCTTCTCTTGTCACGAGACTGGGACAGACTGTGACGAACTGGTATTTGCAACCTTTCCACAAGGCAGGATGTAGCACAAGACCAATTTTTATGTGGGGCGTTTACGAGCACATAGGCTCAAGCAAAAATTCCCAGTAGGTCCCTGCATACACAGGGTCAGGTTTGTCTACCTCCCCAGACAAGGTACTGGCTTTCAGTATAGCCTTGTCTGGGTTCCTCTCTGCAGGCAAAGGGCAACAGTTATTTTTTTTCTCATCATTTCACCCCAAGCAAGGTGATAAAGCCACTAAGATGCATGGGGTGGGGGTTACTGAAGAGAAAGGACAATAAAAGAACAAAGATTAAGACAGATGACAACAGACACTGCATTTAAATTTTGTAGATCATTATTATATCTAAAAAATTCTTACAATCCTAAAAGTAAAATTCTGGCTTTAAATAACCTACAAAAGGTTGGACAAGCTGTAAAAACCAAATTAATCATAAACTAGTGAAGTCAGGGTACAAAAGAAGAAAGCTCATTAGAATAATTATGATGAAAATATTTAGGGAAAAGATACAGGGTAGCTACATTGCGGCAGTGGGAAAGTGACTAAAACTGATATGCCAGGTTAGGACTGATAAGATTGCAGATTCTTTGGATTTTGTCAAGAATCTCAAGATACACAGCAGAAACACAGGTCAACTCATAAAACTCACTCTCATCATTCTGATAAGATTTATTGGTGAGGGCCTCAGACTCAACATGGAAACCTACATAAAGTGCCCTGAGGAGAGGGTGCTGCCCTGGGACAAGAGATGTTTGACAACAGGACTCTGCACCATGCCACACAAGCAGAACACAGTCATGGCTGTCAGATAATTTCAGCGACTACATCACCCTTTACATCTGGCCACCTAACTCCACAGACTGCAACCCCCTTGATTATTATGTGGGGGCACAGCTGAGTGAGAGACCAATAATACTCCTTGAAACACTGAAGATGAACTGAAGGCAAGGATTATAGCAGCATTCGTTAACTTAAACAAGGAGACCATCCAGAAGAATTGAAGGAAATTCTGAAGTTGGCTGGAGGCCATGATTTAAGCAAATACTGATTTTATTAAATAAATCAACTCTTTAGTATTTGAAGATATTTTTGTGTAATTTTGGTAAATATGTCTGTTAAAATGAGATGTCAGTGTTATCTTCATTTTTGTATAATTTAGAAGACAATTTATCCATCATATACTTTTCATTCAATTAAAATAACAGATTGATATCATTTTCCACTGAAAATGTTTAGATGTTACCTTAAGTTCTATACTAGCATTTTTTTTCTACTTCTCGCTTGTGGAATGATTGAAAAAGGACAAAAGAAAGACAAAAAGGACAAAAGAAAGACAAAAAGGACAAAAGAAAGACAAAAAGGACAAAAGAAAGACAAAAAGAAAAAGAAAGACAAAAAGGACAAAGAAAGACAAAAAGGACAAAAAGAAAGACAAAAAGGACAAAAGAAAGACAAAAAGGACAAAAAGAAAGACAAAAAGGACAAAAGAAAAACAAAAAGGACAAAAAAAGGACAAAAAAGACAAAAGACAAAAAGGACAAAAGAAAGACAAAAAGGACAAAAGAAAGACAAAAAGGACAAAAGAAAGACAAAAAGGACAAAAGAAAGACAAAAAGGACAAAAGAAAGACAAAAAGGACAAAAGAAAGACAAAAAGGACAAAAGAAAGACAAAAAGGACAAAAGAAAGACAAAAAAGGACAAAAAGAAAGACAAAAAAGGACAAAAGAAAGACAAAAAAAGGACAAAAGAAAAGACAAAAAAGGACAAAAGAAAGACAAAAAGGACAAAAGAAAGACAAAAAGGACAAAAAAAAAAGGACAAAAGGACAAAAGACAAAAGAAAGAAAAAGGACAAAAAGAAAAAGAAAAAAGGACAAAAGAAAGACAAAAAGGACAAAAGACAAAAAGGACAAAAGACAAAAAGGACAAAAGACAAAAAGGACAAAAGACAAAAAGGACAAAAGACAAAAATAAAAAAAACCCTGCTAATTCAAATGTATCTGCAACAGCCTCACCGGAGTAAAACTTACTCCCAAATTTTCTTCATCATTTTCAGAAGCATCTTGTCTTGCAGTTAGACCATGCTTCAAATTTGACCAAATTTAGAACCAAACTAAATGTTAGGGACATAATTGCAGATTCACCAACCAACGAAAAATTGAAAGGTACTTAGTGGTACAATGGGTCAATCTGTTTAGGTAAGTTGTCATTGGTTGGCTTTATTGTACAGCTTTCTCAGTCATGTCATCAGAGTGAGGAAGGTGGGAGCAGTATTCTGTGTCGCATTTACTTTGATCTTTGTAATGGACAAAGCAAAGATAGAATGAATTGCACTTGAATCCTTCATAGGAAAACTAATTTCCTTTGGACTGATGTAGCCATTACTATGATGCACTCTGGACAGAAGAGGACTTTAAGAAAGTGAAGCCAAGTGTATGAATGAAGTATATATATGACAAGGCACACAGCACCAATAATACTGGGTGGGGGAGATGATACTGGTACAGTTTAATTTGTGAGTTTAGGTTTTCCTTTCACTTAGTAAACTTATTGTATCCAAAGGGTGTCCCTAATTTGTAAAGCAGTCATCTGACTCACAAAAAAATAAAATAAAATAAAAAAAATAAAAAAAATAAAAAATAAATAAATAAAAATTTTTCATGACCTTAATTTGGCTGTTAGCTATTAAGATTTTTTTTTTTTATATGAAAAAAAAAAAAAAAATTTTTTTAAATAAACAGATAAATAACAAAACAAATCCTACTGATAAAAACCAACCCTATCAAGCCACAACCTTTGATAATAGCTTAAATAAATCAAGCAGAAAGTGCTCAAAGTATTTGACAATTTATGTTCAAATTCTCCCAGGAAACCAGGATAAAAAGGTACAATAATTTTTCTTGGTCTTTAACTGAACTTGCATGAAAGAAAAATTCCTGTCTATATGCACTTTATATAAGAAAATAAGTAATGTTTATCAGTCTAATGGGTTTCACTTTTATTAAAGCTTGGTCAGAGATTGAGAGAAAACAGACAAAAAGACAGAACTTTAATATTTTCAATTTTATTTGGATTGATTCTCATTGCTCAGTCCTGTATCATGTTCAAATAAAACCATAGTTAATTAAAAATTGTAGTATGTCTAAATGGGTATTGATTGATAATGTGTATTCGTACTTGTGTATGTCTGTGTCTGTCCAGTAGGGAGGGATTTAATATTTTCACCTTGATGGTGGCACGCAAATAAATCTGTAAATGTGTTATATATATATATATATATATATATATATATATATATGTTAGGTTAGGTTCCTTTGTGTTAGATAGATATGTTCGATTCCTTAAGAATAGATTCAAAGAAAGATACTGATGTAATGCTTTAGGTGTGTTTTTATAGCTTGTAAGGAATTAACTAAAGAGAGAGAGCTTCTTTTTACAGAGAGAGAGAAGAGAGAAGAACGATTTTTGAGAGAGAGAGAGAGAGAGAGAAGAACAGAATATATTTGAGAGAGAGAGAGAGAAAAGAACAGAAACGAGAGAGAGAGAGAGAAGAACAGAAGAGAGAGAGAGAGAGAGAGACAGAAGAAGAGAGAGAAACAGATAGAGAGAGAGAAGAACAGAAGAGAGAGAGAGAGAAGAACAGAATTTGAGAGAGAGAGAAGAGAGAGAGAGAGAGAGAAGAACATTTATAGAGAGAGAGAGAAGAAGAGAAGAGAGAGAGAGAGAACAAAGAGAGAGAGAGAGAGAGAGAGAAACAGAAAGAGAGAGAGAGAAAGAACAGAGAGAGAGAGAGAGAGAAGAACAGAAGAGAGAGAGAGAGAGAAGAATTTTAAAAGAGAGAGAAGAACAGAAAAAAGAGAGAGAACAGAAGAGAGAGAGAGAGAAGAATAGAAAAAGAGAGAGAGAGAAGAAAGATTATGAGAGAGAGAGAATCTTTAGAAGAGAAAGAGAGAGAAGAAGAGAACGCGTAGAGAGAGAGAAGAACAGACAAGAAAGAGAGAGAAGAAAGAAAGAGAGAGAGAAGAAGAACAGAAAAGAGAGAGAGAGAAGAACAGAAATTAGAGAGAGAGAAGAACATTTCAGAGAGATAAGAGAGAGAGAGAGAAGAAGAGAAAAGAGAGAGAGAGAAGAACAGAACGCGCAGAGAGAGAGAAGAACAGAACGCGCAGAGAGAGAGAAGAACAGAACGCGCAGAGAGAGAGAAGAACAGAACGAAGAGAGAGAGAGAACAGAAGAGAGAAAAGAAGAGAGAGAGAGAGAGAGAGAGAAGAAAGAGAGAGAGAGAGAAGAACAGAAGAGAGAGAGAGAGAACAGAAGAGAGAGAGAGAAGAACATGAGAGAGAGAGAGAAGAACAGAAGAGAGAGAAAGAGAGAGAGAAGAGAAGAAGAGAGAGAGAAGAACAAGAGAGAGAGAGAAGAACAGAATGTAGAGAGAGAGAGAGAGAAGAACAGAACACGCAGAGAGAGAGAGAGAGAGAAGAACAGAGAGAGAGAGAGAAGAGTTGAGAGAGAGAGAGAGAGAGAAAGAATAAAGGAACAGAGTTAAGGAAAGAAAGAATACAGAGAAAGGGGGGGAAATTGTAATGGAAAGGAAAGAAGTGACAATGAAATCCTGTTGATTCCCAGAAAAAATATTTTGCTGTGCTCTTCAGCCAGACCAAGAACACAAACAACTTTTCTTCCCTGAAAACAAATTTAATCACCACAAGGAAGAATAAACGGTCTCATCATTCCAAAATTTTTACTCAATTATCGAAAGTTATGCAAACTGCAGACAAAAACATTTCCTCAAATTTTACCAAAACAAAAATACTTGAAAACGCTTGAAACCAAGAAAACAGTTTTGGGGGAAAAAAAATAAACCCTCTCCGCCCCCCCACCCCACCAAAAAAAAAAAAAAAAAAAAAAAAAAAAAAAAATCCTACTGGAAGGTAAATAAATAGGTCAGGATTGTTGATTGCCTTCCTTGAAAATTTCTCAGGTGGACACTGGTTAAGATTTTCTATTCCTATGACAATCATGGACAGTTTCCTCAAGTGACTCCAATTTAGAAATTATTCCTTTTGTTTCTAAGAAATTGATGACTTAAACACTGTTTGTTTGTTTGCTGAAAAATCAACCAATGAGAAGAGAGAGAGAGAGAGAGAAAAAAAAAAAGACCTTGATTTTGAAAGCAACTTCACAAGAAAGTACATGTAAACAAGTTCTTCATTCTTTGCACCTGAATGAGCCCTCATTTCTTCTTCCTATTAATTATAAAGTTAAGAAAATGATCCAGGTCTGATTTTATCACACAAAGTGTTTTCACAATAAAATAAGAGCTAAAAAAAACAACAAGAGTTCCAGATTAACCATCATTTCAGAACCATTCCAAACTTAAGATTTTTTTTGATTTTGTTTTCCTTTCTCTTATATGATAGATATCATATAGATATCATATATATTCATCATATCATCATATTCATCATATCATATAGATATCATATAGATATCAGTTCTAAATGGGAAATCAGAAAGCTGAGTTTGAATTCCAGTTGGATTCACTGGAGTCAATTATGCACAAATATCTTTGGAAAAAAGATATGAATCCATTTCTTCTCCCCCACCAGCCATAGTTTGAATGGCAGAACAGACTGGGTCTTATAGCCTGGGTTGGTAACCAACCTACCACAGAAAGAAACGACAACAGACTGTGGGAAAATGTTCTGCCTAGTCAGTCATGAATGAAAAGAGACATAATTCCTAAAGTGTGAATTGCATATGACTGATCGTCTGTTCTTCCCAAACATCTACGGCTTGAATCATAGAACAGACTGGATCCTATAGCCTTGGTTGACAACCAGTCTACCACAAAAAGAAAAGGCAACAGGGTGGGAAAATGTTCAGCCTAGTCAGTCATGAATGAAAAGATTTGTTTGTTTAGTAGCACAACTCTTTATGGGTCATTTAATGCTGAAATTTAATTTTCTTGAGAGCATTTGGAATTTCTTTTATAAAAATGTATTGCTGGTATTTTTACTATAATTTTTTTTTTTATACCTTCATAGTGTTTTGACCCCAGTTTAAGGATTTACTATTTGCCCATAGATGGGACCCTAAGCAATAGACCTGGAAATAACAGCAATTCAGAGGTGATTCCATGCTCCTCAAAATATCCCAATCAGGTCTTGTTGCCGGATGTGGTTTATGGTCATACCCAGGACAAATGAATCGAAAAAGACAATCGCCCAAGCATGTATCACATATGGCACTTAACTGACAAATCATTTGTATCTGTTAGCAGCATAATGAAAACACCATTAAAATGCCATGGAAATAAACATTCAATCTTTACACTAGTCTCTCTGCTCTGCAACCACTCCATGACTTGATCATGGCTTTCTCTGGGCCATACTGCTGAGTTGAAGGGCTATGAACAAAGATTTGCAATTCAGTTCATGATAAACAATAACGTAATATATCAACGATGTTTGTTAATGATGAATTCAAGTTTTATTTAACCAAAATCTGACAGTAAAGTATATTGCAAATATATCTAATTTTAAGTCCTCACTTCATTTGGGCTTGTATTCAACAAGAATGTGATTCATTTATTAAAAGCCAGCAACTCTGGTAAGAAGCAAGAACTATTTTAAGAAATTAGTTGCTTCTAGAATAAATATACATAAAGGGATGAATAGAATTTTTCAAAAAGTCATTAATCCCTTAGCATTCAACACACCCAAACCCACCCCATAAATATCAGCTGCCAAAGTCTCGCCATTTGTGTGACATCCTGTGCTATTCATTATGATGGCATATTATGGCAGCGTATACAGGGGGCAGTGTATGGTAAATTGAACATTGAGAGTCAATATTTACAGGGCATGTTGAATGCTGAAGAGTTAACTTCACTCAAAGTCACTGTCATTTGCTCACACTCCACCTTCACAAGGGCACTTTAAAGTAAAGAGTACAAGTGCATGCGCCTAAGGCCAAAATTTGTCTGGTCCTCACAGCCAACGTCAATATTTCATTGACCCTTTCTCTTTGCTACAATGAGGGAGGTGCTGCGCTAAGGTTCGGTGCCCCAGAACCTGGCATCCCTCATTTATTTTCTTTTGGCCTGTCCGAAGAGAGTGAGAGATGAAAATGTAGCTACCAAACCTAAGATCAGTTTGACAGTTATTTACTTGCACACCCACTCAACCATCATGGTGGTGGGAGGTAACACAAGACCATTTTAAGGTGGCAAGAGAAAGAGTGCACATCTGGGCCAAGGCTAAAAAACTGCCCAGTCTCCACAACCAATGTTGCATTGACCTAAATATTACCCTCAGCCACCTCCACCTCTTTGGTGTAACAAGCAAGTTTCTGCTATCAATCTACCCCGATTAATTAAATTTTTCAACAAGCCCTTGAAAAACGCCAAAGAGCACAACAGCCAAAACATTGTGGTAACAATAACAAAGATTATTTTTTATACTAAGGTTTACCTATTAGATGTTCCAAGAGTCACTCAAGTTAGAGGATGACAGCATGGTGTTGTAAGACCATGAGAAAGGCTACGTAGTGAAGTTCATGAGGGATGCAGTAAAGATAATGGTTAACCTTAGACCTGAAGAGGTCCAGATTGTATAGATTGGGAAAACATCCTGATGGAAGTCTGTTCCACAAAGAGTTTGTGGGAAGAAGCTGTCCAAGTGGAACTTCCTCCTTACTAATGAAATACAAAGGGAATGGGGATGATTTATCTTTGTGTATGTGGCATGGTGGGTCCCAGTTGTAAAGGTCAGGGGTGGTGGGATCAAGGAATGTAGCTCGTCAGAATATATGCCATGGAAATAACAAGAGAGCAGCAACAATTCAATTTTGTGAAGGGGGTTGTTATAGTGGAACACACCTATTCTATAGTTAATAGACTCTCCCACCTATAATAAGTAGTAGTAGTAGTAGTAGTAGTTTTTAGTTGGTCAGTCAGTCGATGTCGGACGAAGTTGCGGGATTTAAAGTAAAAGCGACCACCACTAGATTTCTCTGCGTCATTACCTATTATATCAAGTTCCTAACGTTTTGTACGTCGAACCTATTCCAGGACCGACTTAGTACAACTACAAGCCTCCACTGTGAAACTACTCCATAACAAGGGTGAAAAATAATTCATCACCCACATGGACGTTTTTGAACTCTATCAAGACCAGCAGGTGCAGACTGTGTAGCTCCAGCTCTGGTATGGCAGCAATTATCATTTTTATCATTATTTACACTATTGGGTTGTGAATTTGTTGACAGTCATTGCAAGTTGAATCCCTGGGCCTGGCAGTGTGTCCTTGGACTATCACTGTGCAGTACTAAAAGTAAGAGCTAGACATCCAGAGACATGAGCAATGGTACGAAAACAGTCAACTCGCTTAGATTAAATAACAGGTTTAGTTCGGAATTCCCTGTAGTTTATATAAGTCTGATGAAGGCCGGATGGCACAGTGGCCGAAAGGTTGTGATAGCAATAACAAAGATGATGAGAATAGTCCACATATAAATATAAATGATAAATAAATAACAGAAAACCCAAAATCCATAACTGGAATTTGATCGAAGTTGTCAGTTGCTTTTAGCTTCATGTTTTGGTGCCGGATTTTCTGTCAGAGAGTTTCCATTCCAGGAAACACAATCAATACTTGTAATCATGTCTACAAGTCAACTGTCTGCTAGAACATTAGGCAATATTTATCAAGTATACAAAATACACCTCAATTACTTGCCAGCATTTACGGTCTTTCTTTATTTATAGCAGCAAAGTTACCAGTGGTAGCATCTTTGAAAAACTGATTTCAGTGCATCTCCAATCTCACATCCTTCCTCGATCCCCGTAGATTGGCACTACAGAATCACAGACAATGAACTGCACCAAGTAGCAGAAACCGCATCACGTGAAGACATTTCAACAGCCCAAAAGAAGTATGATTCTTGTAGTACTGGCAGCTTAGTAAATGAATGCCAAATATTTCCTTAGAAGAAAATGGGCTAATATTGCCATTAGAGATGAGGAGAACAGATACTACACTTTGATCCAAGCTCAGTGGTGAAGAAAAGATCAACTCCAGTTACACTAGCTGATCAGCCAATGAATGCCAAATGTTTCCCCTCAACAGCTAATATTACCATTTGAGAAGATTTGCCCTTCATCCTTTTATGAAAAAAAGTGATGTCAGATGTCACAATCTTAACACAAGAGATGCAGATGACACTGTTGATAGTAGCCATAGAAAGAAAACTACAAAAGCTCTTACAGAACACAGTGAAGGAAAGCAAGAAGAAAGGACTAAACACAAGACAGAATGCATGGTTGTAAGCAAAAGGACGAGCTCAAAATGCAAATTACAAATTGGAGATACCAAAATCAAATAAGTACAAAGATTTTAATACCTGAGAAGTGGAGATAGTACAAAAGTGAAATTGGAAGACACATTGGGATAGCATTTGGAAAAGTATCTTTGGCTAAGCAGAGTATTAAGAAATGGAAAAAATTTATTAGAAAAAAAAAATAAAATGAAGAGTACTATCTGTCCTCATATAGGGAGACAGATATGACAGTGAATATAGGACAATCACCTCAAAGATGAAGAGACTTGAAGCAACAGAAATGTGCTTCTACAGAAGAATGCTGAGAATACCATAAACCAATTATGTGAGCAATAAGAAAGTTTTAGAGAAAATGGAAACAAAGAGAAAACTTATACTTAATATGAGGAATAGATGGATAAAATATCTGAGGTATAATGAGGAAGGAGGGCTTGGAAAATCTAAAACTCACAGGAAAGATTGAGGGAAAGAGGAAAACAGTGTATAACATACTTGATAAGCTTGAGTAAATGGATGGCAGAACAGGGTTTAGGACAAGTAACAAAAAGGCAAAATTTATTAAGAGCTACAAAGGACAGGAAATTGTGGAGAGCCATAATAGGCAACATCTTGAATGAACATGGCACAAAGAGAAGAAGAGTAATATAAAGTTTATCCTTATTTGTGCATTTGAGTAAATGGATGGTGGGGAAAGTCTAGAAAAGATAAGAAAATGGCAAAATTTATTAAGAGCTACAAACGACAGGAAATTGTGGAGAGTTATGATCGCCTATGTCCTTAGGGGATACGGCAAATAAAGATGCCAGAAAGGTATGACTATAAACAACCTTACTTGGATAAGTCAGGGCCTACAACACTCACAGTAATAATTAAATCATCTTGGTGCATTCAATGA